CGATCACCCATCCGAATGCATGGACGTTGCGCCCACCCTCGGGGGAGGTGATTAGTCGGTTCCTGGTCCATTCGTGACTAACGTAACCCCTTGGAACCCCTTGTGGTTTGCATGTCTTTCAACCGTGAAAAAATCAGTGTAGTGTATTCGGCGCGCGGGGGCTCTTGGAACAAAAGTTTATAATTTATATGGTCCCTCGGTTGCACTTTCACCGAAAAGACCACCGCAATTTATCTTTATAATTTCGATAGTTGCCTAGTTAGTGAAAATAGTCACTGCTTCTCCATCACTGGTTTTTTTTAGGATTGGCCTGGGATTCCTGTGTTTTTTTGTTACGTGGCTTATCCGCGGACCAGAAGAATCGCATAAGCAAAAGGAATGTTTTTGGTGATAACGAAAAATCATCAGATGTGAAAATAAGTAGATCAATGTTTCTTAGAAAGGGCACAGAATCTAACAGTACAGTAATAAATATGTCCAATGGACAGCAAGAAGCGTCAGAAACAAAGGAAGAAAGACTAGATATCATGGGAATACCTCTTCACGCCTTGTCTACAACACAACAATTTGGCGTTTGTTGTGGAGGTGTTCTGTTATTTTATCTCATTTATGGCTATGTRCAGGTAAGCTTAAATRTTGTTATTTCTGACRGATCATTTTCAAGGTGGGCTTTGAACAGAACCGCAGAAAAATGGCACTGGTGGCTCCCCTCAGATCAACCCCTTATCCACGAGGGGAGGGTACTTGACCCCGATTCGGACGGGGATCAGTAGTTCTGCAAGTACATACATGTACGTAAGAATATATCTAAACCTTGACGCTAGTCAAGATAGTAAAATCGTGAAATATCATATCGTAGTAGACCCTATCCAAGAGCTATGAAAGCTATAAATTCCATGTTGACAACAAGTGTTGACATAAACCAGGTCTAGTCTGATACTAGTATGCATAATTGACACCCTGTACACCCATATTAAAGACAMCTGAGGGTCAATTGTAAACCCTGTTTAAGATGTGAAGGACAAAAAGCATATACTATTTGGCGGAATGCTCTCATACAGTAAATATACTGTGGACTATCRGCTCAATGCCCTGGATTCTGGACAATGAAAGTGTCAAATAAATTTCAGTTAAACTTTGCAATATTTAAAATGTGCATATTATTGTTATAAATTAATAATATTATAGGAATGGATCTTCAGAATCGAGGGCTTCAAACCCTATGGTTGGTACCTGACCCTTATACAATTTGGAAATTACTTCATATTTGGAAGYATACAAAGAGCAAAATTTGAAAAYGAACCAAGAAAGTAAGAAAAAGTGGAATGCTAACAGACTGTTTTGCATTTCAAAGTTTTTTGTTATTAGGTGATGATGATATTAATGAGTATTTTTGCATCATCAGGATTCCTTTGAAAACTTATGTAGGGCTGGCATTTTTGACTGTCTCAACCATGGGACTCTCTAATTCATCTCTTGGTTAYCTTAATTATCCAACCCAGGTATAATTTTCATTTAGAAACTTTCATTGATAGAGACAAGAATAAAAAAGCATAATCTCTACAATATAAGAGGGTKCGCACAGGTCCTGGAAAACCTGGAAACTAAGATAAGAAATTATTTCTTATCCTAGTTTTTCCAGACCTGAAAAGTCATGGAATTTTGTTGAGGKCCATGGAAAGTCACACCAATTTAATGAATATCCCACTGACAATAAGATTGAAATTCCATAGGTTATTTTCAAAAGCTGTAAACTTATTCCTGTCATGTTTGGAGGAATTCTTATTCAGGGTACGTCTACTTTGGTAATAAAGCACCACATGGGCTTCCTGTGTAAAATGGAAGATGGGTACATGGTTACGTTGATTTGTATGATGTTTGGAGTGATGCAAAGGGAGCTGTGATTAGACTACAGTGGATTGTCACTTGAATACTCACCTCAGATTTGCCCTGGTGAAGTCAATAATTGACACTGCAGCAATCCATTGAAATTTGACATTCATTGAGTGTACATGGAAAAACACAAGTGTATACATGCATCAGGA